GGGGCCGTTCCGGGGATTTTGGGGGTCCCGGGGAGGATTTTTGGGGCCGATCCGGGGATTTTGGGGGGTCCCGGGGAGGATTTTTGGGGCCGTTCCGGGGATTTTGGGGGGTCCCCCCGTCCCCGTTTCCATGGAAACCGCGCCCCCCCATCACCTGGGGCCGGAACCGCGGGAACGCGTGGCAGGGGGCGGGGCTGCGTGATGACGTAATGATAGGCGGAGACATAACCTTATATTGTTAAGGGGCGGGGCTTCGCACTTTTATGGTAATCACTGCTTAGTGGGCGTGGCCAAACCCTTATGTGGGGTTGGGGGCGTGGCTATAGAATGACATATATGGGCTTGTGGGCGTAATCATGTCCTTATATGGATGTGGGCGGGGCTATGAGCGCATATATTCATTTGGCCTCCGTGGGCGTGGTTAGAATGCCCTTATTTGGTGTTGGGCCGGTTTGGAGGCGTGGCCTCGCCCATATATGGTCATGTGGTGCTTTGTGGGCGGGCTCATGACCTTACGTGGGTGCGAAGGGGAAATTTGGGGTCTTTTGGAGGCGGCAAAGGAGAATTTTGGGGGGAAAAAAGGGGAATTTTGGCATTTTTGGGGCGAGCAGAGGAGAGGAATTTAAGGGCAAGAGGAGGGGGGAGTTTTGGGGCTAGAAAGGGGATTTTTGGGGGAAAAAAATTGATATTTTGGGGGGAAAAATGAAGGATTTTTCTTGGGGGAAGAAAAAGGGTTTTTTGGGAAAAATGAGGGGTTTTGTGGGGAAAAACGGGGTTTTTTGTAAAGGTTATTTTGGCGGAAGAAAAGGGAGTTTTAGGGGAAAAAAAGGGTTTTTTGGGGAAAATAAAAGGGGTTTTGGGGTGGAAAAAAACAGGATTTTTATTAGGGAAAATACAGGGAGTCTTGGGGAAAAAAGGGGGTTTTTGAAAGGTTTTTTGGGGTGAAAGAAAGGGATTTTGGGGAGGGAAGGTCTTTTGGGGGGAAAAAAGGCTTTTTTGGGAAAAAAAAGAGGTTTTTTGGGGGGAAAAAAGGCTTTTTTGGGAAAAAAAAGAGGGTTTTTGGGGGAAAAAAGGTGTTTTTTTGGGGAAAAAGGAGGTTTTGGAGCAAGGTTTTTTTGGGGG